CTAGACTGAAAAGTGAAGGCACTTTCACTCCAGTGGGATGGGGCAGAAGGGTCTGGGTGGGGAAGAGGAAGTGCTACAAACTAAGGGCTTTACTGATGCTTCAAGACTGAGTCCATTTGGTTGTGGGGAAAAGACCGCCTCCTGAATGCCCCAAACAGATGTCAAATCTTCCAGCTGACATCCCAAATTACCAAGAAACTTGGAGGCTGGACACTGGAGCATGCCTTTTCCTGAGCCAGTACCAACATGCTTTTCAAAGTAAACATCTCAGGGCTTTGAAGAGGAGAAAGCCCCCTTGCCTTCCACAAAGGAGGATGCCATGGCCTCCTTAGCAGGGTCTTTAGAAGCTTCATTCAGATGAGATTGCTGGTCCAGGCACTTGAATATTGATAATCCTTGGTCTGTGTCATGAATGTCCTTATGACATCACTGATTTGTCCCCATATGGACACACATTACCAGATTGTTCTTTCATGAAGTGTCTATTTTATTTGTCTTCTGATTATTTCTTTTGCAGGTACTAAAGTGATCCACACTCTATTTGACCTTTGTATTCATGGACAGACAAATGCCACTAATACTCCCAAGTAGAGATCTCTTCAACTCACCTCAATCATATTAACTAACCTAGCTTTAGTCATATGTTAACTATTAGTTTCCTTAAAGGAACAGTGTGATATCTGGGTTCTAGCTGGAAGTTACAGTTGTTGGATATACCATTCATTAGTGATAGTACTTGGCATAGGGGCAGTTCTGATTTGTGCAGAGAACTTTCCTGGAAATTTGAATGTGGCATGAAAGCTGAGACAGGATGGACATAAGTATGATGCTTAAGATATCCCAAGACAAAGACTGACCCTTTTCCTAAAAGAGGTTCTTGTTGCTTACTGGAAGAATGTGGAAAATGAATATGTGTGTGTGTGTGTGTGTATGTGTGTGTTAGAGGGGGGAGGGGGAGAAGGAGGGAGGGAGAGAGAGAGATTTTGAATGTGCTGAGTTAGGGAGTTTGAAAAGAACTAGGAGTTTAGGATTGGCAGACAGGTCCAGTGAAAATGTGCTTCCCCCTACTTTTAAGAGGCTGATAGGGGTGTTGAGAGACCATGTGATTTAACATAAGAGCACTGTCTAAAAAGAGACCCACCTGGTTTTTATCTTGGCTCTCCAATTTTTTTTTTATCCAGGCTCCACCACTTACCAGCTTTGTGACCTCCTGGCAAGTTGATTAATCTCTTATAACCGCATTTTCGTTATTTGTAAAATGGAAATAACAAAATCTCAAAACTTCCTGGGCCTGTTGTGAAGATGAAATAAGATAATGATGTAAAGTATTTAGTGTGATGCTTGGCACAGGGTAGGCACTAAATCCATGGTAACTGACTATTATTGGGTATCAACTATCTAAGGACTCTGTCTTCTTCCCCTCTACCTTTCCTCTAAAACCATCCAACTTCCCACTCCCTTTGAATTCCAGTCATTTGAAGAGAAATTCCTTTTTTCCCAGAGTACTAATATTAATTAATGGTCTAACTTTGGGTTGGATAATCACATTGTGTCATCAACCTCCAGATTATTAGATATTATTTTCAAGAAAAACAGGCCTGGAGTTCCTCCCAGACCTAGGACAGAGGCTGCAAATTGAATTTAGAGGGTTGCCGACCTTTAGACCAAGGCTGGCTGCAAGGGGCAGCCCTGTCTCCTGCTCTTGAAAGCTACAGTAGGCTGTAGTAATTGGGTTACCGCCTGGGATTCAGTAGGACTAATCCATCTGTATAATTTCTTCATCTGGTTTAATGACATTAACAAAACTGAATTAAGGAGCGAGTGGGGTTGGGTGGGACGAGGGAAAACAAATTTTCTGTATGGGAGTGGATGCCACGTCTCCACTGCCAGTCTGGAGCCTATGGTCTGATTAATGGAAGTATGTGAGTCCTGCTTGTGGCCAGTGCAGTCCCTCAGCAGAGCATCGGGCTTCTGGGTATAAGTGTACCCAGAAAGGGCCATCGCAGATAGGGTTTCTCTGGACACCTCAGGGCTATCCTGTCTCTCTTTCTCTTTCCTTGGTTCTTTCTCCTTCTTAGTCCAGCCCCTCTTGTACAATTTCTGAGCAGTTTTTCTTCTAGTTCAAATATTCTGGGACCTTACCTGGGTTTTGTCATTAACTTGTCCCAGGTGATGTGTACTTGTCTGAGCACTCGCCCCAGTCCCACCTTGCTCTGTTTGTCTGGGGTTGGCCATACTGGGGGGTGGGCACTCTTTAATACCAGTTTGCCAACCAGAGCGTCCAGCCCTAGGAGGAGGGGCCTGCTTGTGGGGGTGAGGGTGGGAGTGGCAGACACTGCTGTCAGTTTCACCCGTGCCCTAGTGACACTCAGATCCCAGCGCGCCCTTCTCAGAGAGAGCCCGGCTATCTCAACTTGGGCAGCTGGCCATTGGAGGCGACGAGTGGCTGACTAGCGGGCTGAGATTCACTGCAGGCGGTGGCCGAAAGCAGAGTTCTCAGAGTGTAAGTGGTGACCAGCACCGGCCAGACTGCGCTGCCTGAACTGCAGGAGCAGAGTGGGTAACAGGGGCGGGGGTGCCGGGCGCCGGGCTTCGATCCGAGATCCGCGGCGGACAGTGCGAGTTAGCTGTGGCAGCGCGGGTGGGCCCTGCGTGCCCAGAGGGGCCAGGAGACGTCGGGTAGATACGCTTGCGTGCTCTTTCCTGGGTTTGCTGGGGTTTTGACGACCAGCGGCTGACGTCCACGCGCCCCTGCGGAGCTCTCCCTTTACTACAGCCG